ATTCATTTGTTGATGGGCACTTAGGTTGTTTCCAACTCCTTGCTATTGTGAACAAAGCTGCAATAAACATGGGTGTGCATTCTCCATACTTTTTCAATCTATATCCAGAAAGATCATCCAGGAGGATGGGCTCTAAGAGAAGGAATGTGGCATCAGGTTTGGAGGAAGACTCATCAACAACCTGAGTTATGCAGATGATGCAACCTTGCTTGATGAAACTGAAGAGGACCAGAGGCATAAGCCTCAGGTCAAGGACTGCAGCCTTAAATATGGGTGGAAGCTAAACATCAAGAAAACGAAGATTCTCACCACTGGTCCAATTGGCACCACCATGATGGATGGAGAAGAGATTGAGACTGTTAATGGCTTCCACTTGCTTGGCTCCATAATTGGCATTCTTGACACCATCAGCCAGGAAATTAAAAGATTAATTGCACTGGGAAAATCTGCTGTCAGCGACCTCTCCAGTGTACTGAAAAGCAAGAGTGTCAGTCTGGAGACTAAGGTGCACCTGATCCAGGTCATGGTCTTTGCAATTAGGTGCTATACTTCAGAGAGCTGGATAATGACTAAGAATGACAGAATAATCGGTGCCTTTGAGTTGAAGAGTATTGCATATACCATGGACTGCTAGAAAAACGAACAGGTCTGTCCTGGTGAAACCAGGCTGCTCCTTGGAGACATGGATTTTGAAGCTCCATCTGACATACTTTGGACATGTTGCAAGGAGGGACCAGTCCTTGGAGAGGGACATCATGTTTGGGAGGGTGGAGGGACAGCACAGGAGAGGAAGATCCTGGATGAGATGGATTGATTCAGTGACTGGGGTAATGGAGGTAGGTGTGCAGAGACAGTGAAATTGGCTCAGGATAGAGGAGGGTTCAGAGCTGTTGTACATAGGGTTGCTATGAGTCACAGTCTACTCGATACCAAATAACAACAAATTACACTTAATCCTTGTAATAACCCCCAGGCAATAAATTTTCTAGCTCCATCTCTTCATCTGAGGAAACTAGAGTTCAGAAGGACATTAACTTGCCTATGGAAGGAGCTCTGGTGCTGCAGACCTCCTTCGTTCTGCTAACTGGTTGCTAATTTGGTCGCTAACTGATAAGCCTAAGATTGGAACACTTAGTTAAACAGTTAGAACTCTCCAGTCACTCCAGGGAAGGAAAATGTGATGTGACAGCTTGCTTCAATAACAGTCACAACCTTGGCAACCCAAGGGGAAGATCTATCCCACACTATGAGTCAGAATCAACTGGTTGGCAATGAATGGTAACAAGGTATAGGATTGAGATCTAAATCCAGGATCCCTGATTCAACAATATGGGCTTTTCCTATTTTGTCCCACCTGTCTCCTGAAATGCTTGATATGACATAATCACCCCTAGCTCTCAGCCTTGGTGTTAGGTCCACTATACAGCACCTAGAAGACATTGACTATTTGACCTGAAGAAACAGCCTTCTGTTACTCCTGTCTTCTCCTGGAACTCTCATAACTGTTCACATTAACTCCAGGCAGGAAGTATATTGAGAATCTTTAATAAGCAAATTACAAGGACACTGAGCATAAGAACAGAAACCGGACTGACCAAATGACCCTGGCTATAGAGCAGTGCCAACGTTACAGATTCCATGGTAGACTGGCCTATGGGAGAGAGTTCCACTAAATCTGGGTGACTTCACTAACCATTTATACCACTAACTACCATCAACAAAAAAAGTCCAGCTTTTACTTCATTTGGCATTTTAGAATTTATATGGAAAAATAAGTCAACAAGTATAGTCCAGACAATTCTTAAAAAGAAGAGTAACTAAGAAGGAACTAAGCCTACTGGATATTAGAACATCCCATGAAGCCTCTATAATTAAAGGGTATTGGGCCAGCACATTTCATAGATTAAACCAGTGGAACAGAGTGGAAAGCGAGGAACTAGACCAAAGTACACAGAAATTGAGTGTCATATACAGGCCGCATCTCTAACCACTCAACATAAGATGAACTTCTTATTGTTATGTGCCATCGAGTGATCTGCAACTCATAGCGACCCTATGTGCAATAGCCATAAACCCTACTCTATCATGTGCCAATCTTATTGCCTCTGACACAACTACCACCATTATCCCAGTCACTGAGTCAATTCATCTCATCCAGGGTCTTCCTCTCTGGCACTGTCCCTCTACCCTCCCGCTCCAAGGACTGG